AAAAAAAAAAAAAAAAAAGCGCTCAGTTATCTGGGCAATCTTCCACACACAACACACACACACACACACTTCTCCGAAATTTCAGTTACACGGAAAAAAAAAAGAAAGAAAATACAAAAAGAAAAATAGGATTAGATTCAGATTATATAATGTTTACTTCGTGTACGCTGACAAAATTAATAAAGTTAGCAGTATCAAGTTTTTTTTTTTTTTTTCCTTTGCTTAGCCATTAGGTTGTTGGAAAGACAGCAGCAAAAACATCAAAAAGTGCATATCAAAAAAGCCTTTTTTTAAAAGTAATTTAGGTAAAACTAACCAAATTGGTGATTGGGTTGCCCAGATAATCCTGATTCTCGGTGCATTGTCCGCCTAAGATCGCTTTTCGAGTTACTGCTGAACCCATAGACCAGGCAATTATATCAACTTGTTTTCCAGTATATTCATGCACAGCAATTGTCATATTACGCACCTTAAATTAACTTGATAAAAAAAAAAGAAAAAAGATTTTTTAATTTTTTAATTAAATTGCTTAAAATAATCTGTTGATAAGTCAATTAATTAAACCAAAGAAAAGTCATACCATAGTCATCTCTAATGTATCGTTATATTCTCAAAATTGACCACTTCAAATAAATGATTACAACAGCTTTTGGGTTCGTAAACACTTGAAAAAAAAAAAAAACTGCTAAACAGTTTATTTGAACAAAAATTATTCTTAATTTTAACATGCTGCAATGTGGAACAAATAAAAAGGGTTCCAAATTTTGCTTAAAATTCGAATTCTACCTGCTTAATCAAGTCGCAGTCGATTGCTCCGAACAGAAATGGTGTGACCCCGCCATCACCGTACGATGTTGCGTACAGCTCAGCAGGCGTATAACCCTTACTAATAAAAAAGTCACGACTACTATGGAACACACCAGCTCGAGAAGTCACTCCATGAACAAAGATTATCGGCTGAAATCTAAAGGTTCTATGCATGAAAAAGTAGCTAAATTTAAAAAGCAAAAAATGGGAATAAAATTGATAAAGAAACAACAAATACTTGGCACAGTCTGCTTGAAAAACTGAGACCTTTACTTAAACAAATTGAATGTTCTATTAGCTCCATCAGTATTACTAAACATATTTTTTACATACATTTTGTAATAAACCTTGAAAACTAAAATGGAAAACAACGCAGACACACGCATGGCGCTAAAGCGAACTTTTATAATTTAAATTTCTACTGTTGATAATGAGTGATCGTCAGAATCAAACACATTCTGATCAGTTACAGTCTGTCGTTTTTCAGCTCCAATTCTGATGCTCTTTTTCTATTTTTTTTTTGTCTTTAAGAAACTCATTCAAAGAATATTATGTTTTAAGAAAATAATTGTTATTATTAGTTGAAAATATAGTCAGATCAATGTTGTCGGTCCTTGTTCAATTTATTTTTTTTTACAATATCACTGTCTGAGATTATTTATCACTTTTAAACAGCGCAAAAAAATTTAAAGAAACACGTAGAACGATAAAGAGAAATGCAATTTAATTGAATACAGTATAAATTGTAAAGTTCTGGTTATCAGTTGAATTTAACATCAATTTTTGCAACTTTAGTACTTCAACCTATTTAAACTTTTAAATTAAGCAATATTTTACTACGACTTTTTTTGCACTGTTCAAAGTCTTCAAAAAAAAAAAAAAAAGAGTCTTCTGAAGACAAAAGTTGGGTGAAAAACAAACTCTATGAGTGATGTTATCAGTGTCCTGAACTTTACCACCAAAGCTACCTAATATTCCACCGCCAAGGTCGCGACGTTCCAACCGTTTTTGCATTTCTTCGCCATACCGTGTCGTTAAAAAGTTATTAAAATGTGCTGTAAATTCAGCTGCTATATGCCCGAACAAAACGGTTATCACAACAGCAAATGTGGTGAAGCTCATTAGTGTTCAGTTCAGTCGACAAATACACTGTAAAAAAAAGCAGGTATTTTTAAGAAAAAAAGAATTGCCAAGTGAAAAAAACGCTTTTTTTTTGAAAAAAAAAAAAACAAAAAATAAAAACTGTTAATCGACAGTGACAAATTAAAATACATTTTGAATTAGTGAAAAAAAAAGTACACAAATACATATTATTAAAAAACTAAAATCTGGTCATTATTACTGTAAAAAAAAAAAGGGTTATATGAGTTCAAAAAAGTTGAACACTTAGAGAGCATTAAAAAAAAAAA